ACGAAGGGCGACAGCGGGGCTACGAAGGGCATGCGTATGGGGCCACGACGGGCGCGTGCGAGCGTGGGCCAGGAAGGGCATACAATGCGGGGCCACAAAGGGCAGCGACAGCCAATGAGGGCAGCAACGGGGCCACGAAGGGCAGCGAGCGAAGGCGACCGCGGCACCAGTACGGGCAGCGAGGCCAGCCGCAGCGACGACCGCGGATCGAAGGCGGGCGAAAGCGAGCGGCGACTGCAGTCATTAACGGGTTGGTCAGGCAGGCAGGCCCCGACGGGCGGATCGAGCGGGCGTGTCGTTGAAGCGTGAGTCCTGATTGAACCGCCAGGCAATATGTAGCGGGTGCGCGATTCCTGAGTGTCGAGGACCGGCATCTGAATATATTGAAAAGAAATATAAGCGAAGCAGCCCGGTGGCAAGTTGCGAGGAAGTGCAAAACAAAAAACGCGATTCTGCAATACATTGTCAAGACATATCAAGCAGGAGCCGCGATTCGTTGGTAAATTGCCAGGAAGTCCAAAGCGAGAGCACGACTCCTCAAAATTGTGAGGACGTATCAGGCGGGAGCCGTTGTTGTTGTTGTAGTTGTAAACCGGGGGCGAACGACACATGTTGAGCCTCAAGACTTTCCCAGATAAAAAACGGGGAGCGAGCCGGCGAGGGGCACTTCAACAAAAAATGCAAAATGTGCACCGAGCGGGGGCGATCAACAATAGTTATTCTTCAGAAATAAGAGTTCAACCACGACAACATCAACATCAACAACAACGCAACAAGCAGAACTCTCACCACGAGTCCCACCAGCCCTTTAGGGCGTAGGTGGTCTAGGGAGTTTCCTCTGCCAACCCCCTTCTTCCCCTTCGGGGAGGGGTTTACCCCTCCCCTTACCCCTCCCCGCTGACCTGGACGGGGCCGGTCGCGAGGTGTCAGAGCGTCCAAGATGGCCCAAGACAGCTCCAAGAGCGAACAGGCGAGAAAACACAAAACATTGATTTTACCTAGGTTTTGGAAGGATTTGGGCATCTTGGGGGGGCCCAAGAGGCGACTCGAGGCACTCTGGAGGGGCGGGGCTAATAAGCAACCCCCCCTTCTTTGATAGATCTCCTCCAAGATGGCCCAAAGAGCGCCCCGAAGGCTCCCAAGAGCGCCCCAAGAGCGCCTCAAGAGGGCCCCAAGAGACCCCAAGAGGCCCCCAAGAAGCCTCCAAGACGTTGCCAAGAGACCCCCAAGAGGCCCCAAGAGAGTCCAAGATGACCCAAGACGGCTCCAAGAGCGAAAAGGCGAGAAAGCAACAAACATTGATTTTACCTAGGTTTTGGAAGGATTTTGGCCTCTTGGGGCGCCCAAGAGGCGACTCGAGGCACTCTAGAGGGGCAACGCTAATTGGGGACCCCCTCTTCTCTGATCGATCTCCTCCAAGATGGCCCCAAGAGCGCCCCGAAGGCTCCCAAGAGCGCCCCAAGAGCGCCCCGAGAGCGCCCCAAGAGGCCCCAAGAGGCGCCCAAGAGGCCTCCAAAAGGCTCCCAAGAGACCCCCAAGAGGCCCAAGAGGCTCCCAAGACGGGTCCAAGAGCGAAAAGGCGAGAAAGCAAAAACATTGATTTTACCTAGGTTTTGGAAGGATTTTGGCCTCTTGGGGGGGCCCAAGAGGCGACTCGAGGCACTCTAGAGGAGCAGCGCTAATTGGGGACCCCCCCTTCTTTGATAGATCTCCTCCAAGATGGCCCCAAGAGCGCCTCGAAGGCTCCCAAGAGCGCCCCAAGAGCGCCCCAAGAGGGCCCCAAGAGGCCCCAAGAGGCCCCCAAGAGGCCTCCAAGAGGCCCCCAAGAGACCCCCAAGAGGCCACAAGAGGCTCCCCGAGATACGCAAGAGGCCCCCGGGACCGCCAAGAGGCCCCAAGGACGGCCCAAGAGGCCCCCAAGCTCGCAATTGTCCTCCTCCTCCTCCTCCTCCTCCTCCTCCTCCTCTTTTTCTTCCTCCTCCCTCCTCCCCCTCCCTCCTCCTCCTCCTCCTCCTCCTCCTCCTCCTCCTTCTCCTTTTCCTCCTTCTCGTCCTCCTCGTCCTCGCAGTCCTCCATCTCCTCCTCCTTCTATTCCTCCTCCTCCTCCTCCTGCTCCTCCTCCTGCTCCTCCTCTTCCTCCTCCTACTCCGACGACGACGGCTCCTCCTACATCCTCCCCCTCTTGGGGTATATGGCGGCTCACCCCGCCCTTTGTTCTTCTGCATGCTCCCCCGCTTCCCTCATAACCTCCACTCCCCTGGGACTCATTTCTGGACGGGCTGGTGGGGATACGCGAAGCGTCTAGAATTCCTTTTTCAGCCACGCACCCAGGGACAATAAATGACCGTTCGGCCCCTTCACTTTGATATATATATATATATATATATATATATATGTCGGCGGTGCCCGGTGCGGAGCGAACACCCCCCCCGGTAATCTCTCCTGGGGGGGTTCGAGCTGGCGCCATTCCCGGTGCGAGCCTGCACGAAACCCCCCGGTAAACACGACCTCCTCTGGTAGGCTGCACGAAACCCCCCGGTAAGGACGCAACCCCTCCGTAAGCGGCGCGCTCCCGGCACGCGTGAACCCCAGCCCCGACGCGCGAATCTTACCAGGACGAGCAGGAGGAGGAACTGGCATTCCTGTTGTTCGCACTGCTGGGCTCGTGGCCACAATACGAGAGGCTGCGGCGCAACTCGCATGCTTGTGGCCCCAATCTGCATTACAAAGGACGAGGAGGAGGAGGACGAGGAGGAGGAGGAGGAGGAGGAGGAGGAGGACGAGGAGGAGTAGGAGGAGGAGGAGGAGGAGGAGGAGGAGGAGGAGGAGGAGCAGGAGGAGGAGAAGGAGGAGGAGGAGAAGGAAGAAGAAGAGGAAGGCGAAACAAAGGCGAGCAGACGCGAATAGAGAACACAAGGCGAGCACACGCCACACTTCGACAGGGAGCCACCCTTCCCAACCGCCCCCCTGCCCCCCCCCCCCCAACCCACCCCCCACTCCCACCCCCCCACTCCCACAGGGGGGGGGGGGGGAGCCCAGGTAGACACAGCGCGGCCTGCCCGAACCCCCCCGGTAAAGCGACAGGGGAGGACCCAATGCGGCCTGCACGACCCCCCCGGTAAAGCGGCAAGGGGGGGGTGTTCGAAGGCGCTGGCGGCACCCGGTGCGGGCTGCACGAAACCCCCCGGTAGTGCACGAACCCCCCCGGTAGTGCTGGGGGGGGGGGGTCGTGCCACGGCGCACCGCCGACATATATATATATATATATATATATATATACATACTTAATTCTACATTTATAGAAATAGAATGATATACACACACGATCGGGAACTGGTGCTTAGCATGTCGCCGCGGCGGCCCCGGCGACACGCCGTGCCCTGCAAGCGGATAGCGTGTCGCTCCACTCCGCGGGGCGGGAGGCTCGAGAAAGCTCGAGACGCTGACGCCTCGGGACCGCGAATTGGATAGCATGTCGCGCCGAAGCGCGGTTGGACAGAATTGGCGGAGCGACACGCTGGCCAAAAGTTCCCGACCGTATCCATACCCACCGCCTGCTGAGGTACCTGGAGGTCGATCCCCCCAGCGGTGATTATGGATATATCCCTGCCTCGGAGACGACGACCTCCTCGTCCTCGTCCTAGTCCTCGTCCTCCATCTCGACCTCCTTTTGCTCTTGGCTACGGCTTCCTCCTCGTCCTCGCCCTCAACCTCAACCTCCCTTTTGTTCTTGGCTTCCGCCTCCTCCTCATCACTCTACAACTACACAGTATGAGTACTAGTGCCACGCGCGCGCTTCGCGCGTTTGGGTTCTAGGGCAGCACAGATCATTGAGGCGACACAATGGTTACATGCCGCCATGTCTATTTGCTGCGCGCGCCTGGACACATCTTCGGCGGTCCTCGCGCTCCTCCGGATCTGCGTCCTCCCCCCTCTCGGCTGAATCATGTTCCTCCTCCCTCCTCCCTCTTCCTTCCTCCTCCCCCTCTCCCTCCTCCCTCCCTTCGATCCTTCCCCCCACCAGCTCTGCGCGCGGCTCTTTCGTCGGGCTCCTCGGGTCTTGGCTCCTGCCTCTCCCGTCCTTCCTCATCGCGCCCTCCTCGCGGAGAAGAGGAGGAGGGGAGGGCCAAGCGCGGACAGGCGGGAAAAAGACGGATGGGCGCCCAAAATCGAAACGACATGCCGCCCCCTCACATCTTTCTTGCGCCTCCTCCAGCAACCATGTGACACACCGTTAACCGTTGCGCGACCGGTGTAACGGTGTAGCGGTGTAAGCGGAAATCGCAGAGACCCGGATTCCCCATACAATCTGACTTCAGCATGTTGTGCTTCCTATTGGTCTGATGATCGAGCCGTTCTAGGTCCCTCAAGAATCTGTATTCCCGCAGCAGCTGGAGCCACATTTCAGGATCCATGGGGTGGGGTCGATAGCCCTGGAGACCCACGTCATTTCAAACATCTCAACGTGTGATGCCTGGCTTCGGTCCTCCGAAGCCGGTTCACCCCAACAAAGGGCACCAGAGAGGCGCAGGGGAGAAAGAAAGAATATGCAGGGGGAAGCGGAGGGGTGGACGAGACACGGAGAAGAGAAGAGAGGGAAGGAAGAAGGGGTAGAAGGGAGAAGCGGAGGAGGAAAGAAGAAAAGAGTCTCATACACACACATACACACCGGGCCCCTCCAGCCCCCGTCCCGCCTCCCCGCTGCATCCCGTCCCCACCTGTCTACCCATCCACGTTGTCGTCGTCGGTGTGCTCGTCATCGTCGTCGCGCCCGCTGTCCAAGCCGTCCAGGCCGTGGCCGCCGCCGCCGTTGCCGCCCGGGCCGTCCTCGCCGCCGTCCTCGTCGCCCTCGCGGCCGCCGCGCACCGACCTCGCAAACGGCCAATCCGCCGACCTCGCCGCCTCCGCGCCCGCACCGCCGCCCTCCCACTCCTGCTCCGGCCGCGCCGCGACGGTCGCGCCGCGCGGGCCGCGGCGAGAGGCCCGTGGAGGGGCAGGGCCTTCGGGCCGGCGGCCGCCCAGAGCGAGCGGCGCCGCGGCCCGCGGGGCGCCGAAGAGCTCGTCGACGGCGGCCTCGGGGGCGGGAGGGCGGAGGAGGAGCAGGGCGGGAGGGCGGGGGGGGGGGAAGGAGGGCGGGAGGGCGGGAGGGGGAGGGGGAGGGGGACAAGCTAGGTGCGCCCGCGTCAAACATGACGTCCTGCCCCGCCCTCCCATCCCTCACCATGGCGTCGATCTCCTCTCTATTCGCACAGACGGATGCCGAGCAGGGCAATGATCGCGAGAAGGCACGCGATGCATGGTGGAGCACGGCATGCCATGGCGTAGAAGAGCACGGCAGAGCGTAGCATGCCACAGCATGGCGTGGCATTGCACAGTGAAGCATTGCATCACAAAGCATTGCAACGCAAAGCTCGGCATCGCACGGCGGCGCAGAGCACAACACCGCACAGCATGTCATGGCATGGCTCCAGGCTCCTTGGAGGGTAAGTGGATCGCCCTCGCGAGGTCTGGGCCCATTCGGTGTCGTGGCTCCATGTCTGGCTCCTTGGGCTCCCCGAAAAGCTCCACACAAGGCGGGACTGCCGGAGAGCACCCGCTGGCGGAGGAGGAAGAGGAGGAGGAGGAGAAGGAGGAGGAGGAGCAGGAGCATGAGCAGGAGCAGGAGCAGGAGCAGGAGGAGGAGCGGAGGGAGGAGCATCTGCTTTCACCATCGCCTCCTCAAGGCAGAAGCGGGCCTGCCCTTGATACTTCCTGAAAACGACGACGCCCCAAAATGGCCCAAACAATCAACGAATCAACACCGAATGTGGAATCACTTCCGATAGTTCTTTCGGGGGGTCATTTCCTAGATCTTGGGGCCTGTTTGGAAGGACCGGAAACGCCCGCGCTGCAACGGAAGCACGATCTGGAACAACCGAGGCGCAGACATGGGGCCAACGCGAGCAACTTTGAAAAAAAACGAAACAGTCAAGCGAAAACCCATTTCCCCGGAATCTTGTGTACAGATAGCCAGTACGCGGAGGGGGGCCGAACATCTTCCGGACGTCATCAGGGGAGAGAGGAGAGTAGTATTCATCTTGCGTAATTGTGGAGGAGGAGGAGGGGGAGGAGAAGGAGGAGGAGGAGAAGGAAGAAGACGGGGAGGCGGATGAGGAGGAGGAGAAGGAGGATGAGGAGGAGGAGGAGGAGGAGGAGGAGGAGGAGGGGAGGGGGGGGCACCAGAGATGGGCAAGAAAAGTTGCTTCCTCCACTCCACCTCCCACCTCCCTCACCCAATGTAAGGTTCGTCCCAGGCATCTGGCAGCACAGACGCGTGAGAGGACAGACAAAGTGGAACCCCCAGGGCCTCCGCCGCGATGCCCAACCCAACTTTGAATCCGGGGGGAAGGGGGGGCGGCGGCAAACACGGGGTCCAACATTGAAGGGCTCCCAGTTGGTCTCTTACTGAAGGAACACCGAGGGGAGTCCAAGAATCTCCAAAGAGGGGCTCCCCCGAGGCCCTGGACCCACCCCCAGAAGTCCTCCAGAGGGCCCCGAACACGGCCCGCCAGACCACCACGATGCCCTCAAGACGCACCGTAGGAGCCCGGAGCCCTCGAGAGGTCCCCGACAGGGCTGGTCGGAATGCGCGACGCGCCACGGCTTCTAACGCTGCGGGCAACTCCACCAGACTACCAGGGAGCGGCCGGTGATGGGCCGCTGGTGCCCTCGCGGAATTCCAGCACGCCGCATGTACTTTCGTGTCTGCTGCATGGGAGCCTGCGTGGCCCCCGACGCTGTCCGATTTGGGCCTGCCTCGGACTGGACTTGTAATACAATCGAAACCAGAGCTGGACCGGGTCTCGCCCTCGAGGGGGAGGAGGAACAGGAAGGGCGAGACGGAGCAGGAGGAGGGGCCAAACGTGGTCCAAGTGCGATTCAAACGCAGGAAAAGCTGATTTCAATGTCGCCGCCCAAGGCTCCCATGCACAGACACCGAAGAGTAATTACGACCTGCTGCGCCCTCGTGCGAAGCAGTGCACGCTGCATGTCGCACGCTGCGCGCCGCAAGACGCCCGAGCGCCACATGAGACGAGCTCTGCCGCACAGGCTCACAAGGCAGAAAAGATGCTATGCGCGCTACTCGTGCCCAACGGTGGACGACGACGACGACGACGACGACGACGACGACGTTGACGACTATCACGACGACGACCACCACCACCACCACAACCCCGAGGCCTCTGGCCTCTGCAGGCCTCCGTGCGTCTCTCCGAAGGCCCCCTCGCGGAGGCCCCCCGCGGGGAGCCACTCCACGAGCGGCGAACACGTCCGCATACGCGCCCTCGCGGTCTGGCTGCTGGGGCGCGGTCCCGCGGATACGCTGTCGCGCGGATACGTTCCGCGCGCGGCATCCGCGAAAAAAGCGCCCTATAGCCGCAGGGTCGTGGCCCATGGGCCCGGCCCGCGAGGCTGCGGATACCAAAATGCTTTTTGACTACTACTGGCGACCCCACCCCTCTTGGAGCCCGCGATGAGGGCCGACAAGTGCGCAACCTCCCCATGACCGCATCGGAGTCGGGCTTCGGGCGGCATCGGATCCTCGGAGTGTCTAGATCCAGTTGGATCGAGCGGGCCAGAACCGATATCGACTCGGATCCATCGGTTCAAGATGGACCCTGGAGGCATGTGATCCCGCGTTCTGAAAAAGAACCGGTGAGCCACCCTCCCGCTGCGCCACAAGTGCGCCGGCGGTAAAAGGTAACAAATTATCCCAGTGCGACCCTACCCAGGAGGTGGAGCCCCTAGGAAAGCAGCATTAGTAGTAACAGTAAAGCTAAGCTAAAGCTAAGCTAAAGCTAAGCTGAAGCTAAGCTAAAGCTAAGCTAAAGCTAAGCTAAAGCTAAGCTAAAGCTAAGCTAAAGCTAAGCTAAAGCTAAGCTGAAGCTAAGCTAAAGCTAAGCTAAAGCTAAGCTAAAGCTAAGCTAAAGCTAAGCTAAAGCTGAGCTAAAGCTAAGCTAAAGCTAAGCTAGAGCTAAGCTAAAGCTAAAGCTAAGGTAAAGCTAAGGTAAAGCTAAGGTAAAGCTAAGCTAAAGCTAAGCTAAAGCTAAGCTAAAGCTCCAAGGGGACTGGGGGAACCGCTCCCAGGGGACTGGGGGAACCGCCCGGGGCGGGTTGCACTGCCCGGCCCCTTTAAGCGAAGAGAGTAAGAACCCTTCCAGGCAGAGCCTAGGTAGGGAACAAGACACAAATACCGCTACAGTGGGCACATACGACAAGCAATCTTGCAATAATCGTGGCGCACATGACTCGTCCATCTTTGAGATCCCAAAGGTGCCTCAGAGCTCCAGAGGGCCCCTGGGACCACCAGGGGCGAAGAGCTTTCGCGGGGCACCTGCTGGTAGGGCGGTTCCTTGTATGCCGTGCCCACCGTGCTCTCTGGACCTCCCGGGGTGCGTTCTGACCTGAACTTCAGGGAGGAGCCAGCCGTGGCGGCGAGGGCTCTCCAGGACGAGCAGCGGTATCGGCACCTCTTCCTCCTCCGGTGACCTCCGACCGCCATGCCCTGTGCCACACCGTGGACCCTCGCAGGACCGAGGACCCCACCCCCTGGGATCGGCCCCTCACCTCGAGCCGCCTCCTGACGGCCTCAACGGGGCCCCGCGAGGGCCCGCCTGCGACCCAGAGAATCACAGAAACCTCCCGCCGGGCCTCTTTGGCAAGGCGACAGGGCCTGGGCCAGCCCTCGATCGCCAGCCCCCAGAGGCCGACCAAGGCGGAGCACCTCCTCGGGCCTGGAGCCTTTTGAACCTCGCTCGGGGATCTTCTGACCCAGGCCAGTCCAAACCTGGGCCGGCCAGGCCCTGCAGGCTCCTGCGGGCTCCTGCGGGAGCCTGCACCCAGACTGGGCTCGGTGCGCCCCGGGCCCTGCAGGATCCTGCAAGCTCCGGCGCTCTGACTGACCCCCGCTTGCACTGGCCCCCGCCCCTTGAGCCCCGACTCGCCCTCCCTTCCTGCTCGCCGGTGCGAGGTGCAGGAGAGCCCAGGGACCGAATCGATGGGTCGGACCTGCGATCGAAGTCCATCGGATCGGCGGAAATCGGCAGCCGCATCGGGAAGAGTCGAATCGGCGGACATCGGCAGTTCCTACAACAAGTGACATAAACATAACAACTCGGAGGTCCGCGCGGATTTCTCGGAACGGCGCTCGACCGCCCTCCCTGGCGCGCGGAGCGCGCCAGGGGCGGCACCGGAGGCGCCGGGCCCGAGCGCCGATCCGAGAAGTCCGCACTGACCTCCGAGTTGTTATGTTAATGTCATTCTTCGTTTCCCAGGTTCCGTAGGCCTCCATGAAAGCATCGGAGCGCACAGCGGCAGCCGAGGCCGAGTCGACTCGGACTCGGAATCGGAGGCCGCCGAAGTCGAGTCGACGCGAGGCGGAGCCGCCTCGCGCCCTCGCGGCGCCCAGGCCCACGGAGGGGGGCAGCCAGCTCTAAGTCGGGCCTGTCCCCCTGCAGGGGGATTTTCGACGAAAAACTAAAATTATCCCAGTGCGACCCTACATAGAAGTTGGAGCCCCTAGGAAACCAGCATTAGTACGAACAGTAAAGCTAAAGCTAAGCTAAAGCTAAGCTAAAGTTAAGCTAAAGCTAAACTAAAGCTAAGCTAAAGCTAAGCTAAAGCTGAGCTGAAGCTAAGCTGAAGCTAAGCTAAGCTAAGATCAAGGTAAGCTAAAGCTAAGATGAAGCTAAGCTAAAGCTAAGCTAAAGCTAAGCTAAGGCTAAGCTAAGGCTAAGCTACAGCTAAGCTAAACCTGAGCTAAAGCTAAGGTGCAGAGAAGCTAAGCTAAGCTAAAGCTAAGCTAAAGCTACGGTAAAGGCTAAGCTAAAGCTAAGCTGAAGCTAAACTAAAGCTACGGTAAAGGCTAAGCTAAATCTAAGCTAAAACTAAGCTAAAGCTAAGCTGAAGCTAAGCTAAAGCTAAGGTGCAGTTAAGATAAAGCTGAGCTAAAGCTAAGCTGAAGCTAAGCTAAAGGTAAGGTACAGCTAAGGTACAGCTAAGCTAAAGCTAAGCTAAAGCTAAGCTGAAGCTAAGCTGAAGCTAAGCTAAAGCTAAGCTGAAGCTAAGCTAAAGCTAAGATGAAGCTCAAGCTAAAGCTAAGCTAAAGCTAAAGCTAAAGCTAAGCTAAAGCTACGCTAAAGCCAAGCTAAAGCTGAGCTAAATATAAGTTAAAGCTAAGCTGAAGCTAAGCTAAAGCTAAGCTAAGGCTAAGCTAAAGCTAAGCTGAAGCTGAGCTAAAGCTAAGCTGAAGCTAAGCTAAGCTAAGATCAAGGTAAGCTAAAGCTAAGATGAAGCTAAGCTAAAGCTAAGCTAAAGCTAAGCTAAGGCTAAGTAGGCTAAGCTACAGCTAAGCTAAACCTGAGCTAAAGCTAAGGTGCAGAGAAGCTAAGCTAAGCTAAAGCTAAGCTAAAGCTACGGTAAAGGCTAAGCTAAAACTAAGCTGAAGCTAAGCTAAAGCTACGGTAAAGGCTAAGCTAAATCTAAGCTAACACTAAGCTAAAGCTAAGCTGAAGCTAAGCTAAAGCCAAGGTGCAGCTAAGATAAAGCTGAGCTAAAGCTAAGCTACATCTAAGCTAAAGCTAAGGTACAGCTAAGGTACAGCTAAGCTAAAGCTAAGCTAAAGCTAAGCTGAAGCTAAGCTGAAGCTAAGCTAAAGCTAAGCTGAAGCTAAGCTAAAGCTAAGCTGCGGCTAAAGCTGAAGCTAAGCTAAAGCTAAAGCTAAAGCTGAGCTAAAGCTACGCTAAAGCCAAGCTAAAGCTGAGCTAAAGCTAAGTTAAAGCTAAGCTGAAGCTAAGCTAAAGCTAAGCTAAAGCTAAGCTGAAGCTAAGCTACAGGTAAGCTGAAGCTAAGCTAAAGCTAAAACTAAAGCTAAAGCTCTCAGGGGACTGGGGGAACCGCTCCCAGGGGACTGGGGGAACCGCCCGGGGCGTGTAGCACTGCCCGGCCCTTTAAGCTAACAGAGTAAGAACCCTTCTAGGCAGAGCCTATGTAGGGAAATACCCCCAGAATGATCAACAATTATCCCAGTGCGACCCTACCTAGGAGTTGGAGCCCCTAGGAACGCAGCATTAGTAGCAACAGTAAAGCTAAACTAGCTAAGCTAAAGCTGAGCTAAAGCTAAGCTAAAGCTAAGCTGGAGCTAAGCTAAAGCTAAGCTAAAGCTAAGCTAAGGCTAAGCTAACACTAAGCTAAAGCTATGCTAAAGCTAAGCTGAAGCTAAGCTAAAGCTAAGCTAAAGCTAAGCTAAAGCTAAGCTAAAGCTAAGTTAAAGCTAAATATAAGCTAAGCTAAAGCTAAATATAAGCTAAAGCTAAGCTACAGCTAAGCTAAAGCTCAGCCAAAGCTAAGTTAAACATAAGCTAAAGCTAAGCGAACGCTAAGCCAAAGCTAAGCTAAGGCTAAACTAAAGCTAAGCTAAAGCTAAGCTAAAGCTAAGCTGAAGCTGAGCTAAAGCTAAGCTAAAGCTAAGCTAAAACTAAGCTAAAGCTAAGCTAAAGCTAAGCTAAAGCTAAGCTAACACTAAGCTGAAGCTAAGCTAAAGCTAAGCTAAAGCTAAGCTAAAGCTGAGCTAAAGCTCTAAGCTAAGGCTAAGCTAAGCTAAGCTAAGCTAAGCTAAGCTAAAGCTAAGCTAAGCTAAGCTAAAGCTAAGCTAAAGCTAAGCTAAAGCTAAAGCTAAGCAGCTAAGCTAAAGCTAAGCTAAAGCTAAGCTAAAGCTAGCTAAAGCTAAGCTAAAGCTAAGCTAACACTAAGCTAGCTAAGCTAAGCTAAAGCTAAAGCTAAAGCTAAGCTAAAGCTAAAGCTAAGGCTAAAGCTCCCAGGGGACTGGGGGAACCGCGGGGCGGGGACTGGGGGAACCGCCCGGGGCGGTTTCCATTGCCCGGCCCCTTTAGCGAACAGAGTAAGAACCCTTCTAGGCAGAGCCTAGGTAGGGAAATACTCCAAAAATAGTCTGGAGCTTATTTTTTGAATATGTTTTGACATTTGGGGGGTATATTTTTCGTCGAAAATCCCCCAGTAGGGGGACACGACCGACATAAAGCCAGCGCTGGCCCAGATCGCGCCGCGCGGAGCTGTGCTGATCTCCGCGCCTTCGCGGTTAGAGGTAAGGACATTCTACCCCAAGAGCATCGGCGTCGCTGCAGGCACCTCCTCACGCGGTGGGCCAAGGTCCACACAGACGAGCATCCCACGAGGAAAAGAAGCTACGAGAAACCGCCCAGGGTCCAGTAGCAGAATTCGGAGTCCACGAACTTCGAAGCTTCTTCCTGAGATTCCTGATGGGTGTAGGTACTACCGCCGCCCACGTCGGAGAAGAAATCCTCCAGGGTTCAAAGCCTCCTGGGCACATTCCTCAGCGAACGCCCCCGCCGTGTGGCCGCGCCGTCCGTTCGAAACGCTCCCAGGCAGACGAAGCCGAGGAGGACGAGGATAAGGAGGAGGAGGAGGAGGAGGAGGAGAAG